ATATTATATAATATTTATAATAGTTCTGTGAACTTATATAATACATTTATGTACATTTTTAGCGGAATTATATGACATTTTGATGACCTTAAATGACCAGTACTATCCTATTGGTAAATTTTGGGCATTCTTTCTGCCAGTAGTAGCCTTCTGTCATCCCGATGATGTAGAGGTAATATAATACGAAAATAATTTTTTCTATTACTGATATATTGACAATAATTGTATGCTGTTTTCTTATTACTTAAAATTATGTTAGTGTGTATAAAGTGTATTATAAAAATTCAATACTTAAAATATGTTGTTATAAGTCAATTAATTATGGGATAATGGTGTCTGAATTAAATAATATTTACTTAACTTTTTCTGTAATTTTAGACAATATTGAACAGCACAAAACATATCGAAAAAAGTTTAATTTATGATGTTGTATTCCCATGGTTGGGTACTGGTCTTGTCGCCAGTGGAGGTAACATAATAACAGTATTTATAAAAATAATGATACAGGTAGAACAGGTTTTATATACATATAATAAATTAAAGTTTTTAAAGACATAAATATTGAAAAGATAAAGTTTTGAAAGACAAAGATTGGCAAAGAGAATTGTTAAAAATTTGTAATGAAGTACTTTTTTGAACGTTTTACCACGCAATGCATTATCGCGAAACCCAGATAGCAATGCGTGATGATCATATTTCATCACATCATGATTTTCTAATTCTGATAGACATTTGTCCAATTTTTCGTAATCATACCATGATGACACATGTTACGAGTACAATGTAATGTATGTTCTTGAGGACAAACTGTGATCTCAGATTTTGCTGTTATTTTTGCATTCCCTGATAATCATACATTTACAACAATCAACTGTCATGTTTTGTAAGTCAAATATGTGTCACGGTTGTCATCATTATATCATCATAATAAAACATGTCTAAAATTATGCTTGCCACATGGCAAGAATAAACTCACAGCTGTCAACGCTGTGTTTCGGAGAGCCATTATCAGCGCTATGCATCATTCTATTTCTGCGTTATATGCAAAGGTATAATAGGAAGTTTTTGCAAGGCTGTCTGCAAAAGCGGGAAGCATACACTCTTGCATAAAGGCATAATGCACAACGCATAAGAAAATGAACCAATTAGAGTCCTCATATCTATATTGCCACGATGGAAATGTAGGACTCTGATTGGCTTGTTTTCTTATGTTTCTGCATTATGCGCTTATGTAAATGTGTATGCTTCCCGCTCGCGTCCTGTGCATAACCCTGTTGAAAATACCCGATTAAAACCGATTGACAATTTCGAATCCGCATGAATCTGGATTCTTGATGCGGAAAATACCGATTGACGCGGATAGGGTCAGATTTGAATCGTGTTCAATCAGGAATTTCCAGATAGATTTTGATCTGCGTCTATCGGTTTTAACCCGTGATAAAAGTTCGCCGATTGGAACCGATTGGCGCGGATTCAAGTCAATCAGGAAAAGCTGTATTAAAAACAATAGACAATTCAGATACAAATTCGCCGATTGGAACCGCGCCGATTGGCGCGGATTCAAGTCAATCCGGAAAAATTGTATTAAAAACGATTGACAGACTTCCTCAGAAAATCCGATAGAAACCGATTGTTATTGCTTTAATTCTATCTGGAAATATCGGATTGAATCAGATTACGGATTGAATCCGATTGATCTTGCATTTCCACCAATCCGGTGCCCGATTGGCCCGATTGATATCGAATTGAAACCGATTAATTTTTATAGAAATCAATGCGATATCTATCGGTTTGAATAGGGTATTTTCAGCAGGGAAGCCATAAGGACTTCGTGTACTGTGCGTGCCGCGTGCGCAAGTGTTTGTTCCTCCATTTCTTTCTGTATAACCTTATTATGCAATACATGTTAAAATAACGAGCAACTTCGTACAGTTTGTTTTGGTGAAAATTATTTTGAACAATATACAGCATATATTATTTTACTTTTATTTTATACATCTCAACATAGGCTACGTTCGGGGAGGTGCTATTTATGCGCTATGAGCGTGCTCTGTCCTTGTTACTTGCAAAAGTTGAACAAGGATAGAGTACGCTCATAGCGCTAATAGCGTCTCCCCGACCGCAGCCATATAACCTCACAAAATTATTAATCATAAAATAAACTTATAAAGTACTATAAACACAAGCAAACCATGTTGTCACTTTATATGATCCAAATAGCTGATGAGTGGCCTTCACTTGGACACAGTACAAGTGGACACGGTGCAAATAGACACGGAATATTGCACACGGTTCATTTGGACACAGGAATTTTGGACACATAAAAGTTGCACACGGTGTAAATGGACACCATTCTTTTGAAAAGTTGCAGATTATTATGTTGGACACGGCGCAAGTGGACACCGTTCATTTGCACACCTAAAAGTTGCACACGGCGCAAGTGGATACCGTTCATGATTTAAAACAACAGTAATTTTACAGAAACGTGTATTTTAAAGCAGAGAATATATTCCTTTTTTACCGTGTGCAAATGAGCGGTGTCCACTTGCCCCGTGTTCAAGTTTACAGTGCCCATTTACACCGTGTCCAACATTATAGTCTGCAACTTTTCAAAAAAACGGTGTCCATTTGCGCCGTGTTCAACTTTACGGTGTGCAATTTTTATGTGTCCAAATGAACCGCGTGCAAGTTTCCGTGTTCATTTGCACCGTGTCCATTTGCACAGTGTCCATTTGTACTGTGTCCAAGGAGCCTCTTCCATAGCTGATAATATGCAGTATTATATTTAATGCAATTTTTGTGTTTATTATGTTGCTACTTTGCAAGTTTCCGTAATTTCATAAAATGTCTGCATTCTGAGCCGCATATGAGCCCTCATCGGTGTCTATTCTTGTCCTCAGGTCTTGCAGATGCATGTATGCAAAATGAGCTCAGAATGAACACATGTTGCTATCTGGGAAGTTTAAACGTACATCACAACGAAACAATCGTTTTGATATTGGTGACCTTTTTAAATTGCTGTTTATAGTTGAACAAATCAGAAAAACTGATGAACAGTCAGTCACGTAGCAGTGACATAACCAGTTATTCGCAAATATTTAATATGAGAGCTTCGGTTTATTCTAGCACAATTTTCATTAAAGAAACTAAATAAACTGTTTATAATAATGTATTATTTCTCAAATTAAAAATTAGAAATATTCAATAATTATTAGACATCGATCAATTTAAAATTAAAGAATATAAATATTATTGCGATATTTATTTGACATTGTTATCACGATACTGTTATACACATATGTGTTTCAGGCGCAAAGTGGCATTCACGACGAAAACTGTTAACCCCTTCATTTCATTTTAATATATTGCAGCAGTTTGTTGAGATTTTGATCGAGGAAGGTGAAAATATGACTAACGCTTTGAAAAATACAGGAAACACAGTTGTGAAAGATTTAACACCATTTATTAGTGAACATACGCTGAATGCAATATGTGGTATGGTATTCTGTTCTTAACTATACAACATTTTAATTGTATTAAAAAATAATATAGGACAGAATGGAATTTCTTTATTAAAAATATTGATATTATAACATACAATAAATATTTACAACCACAGATTCTTGATGTGTAAATGTAACGTCCACTTTTCGAGCAATAATAGTGAAGATTTGTCATTATTAAAACCAGTTTATCTGTTAAAGAAAAACATTGATAGAAATGGAGGATCCCTCAGGGCTCGGTGAACTTTGACGGTGTGCGCCATCTAATACACGAAACACAGTATAACCAGTAGGGGCACTCTCTGTCGGCACCTTTGATCTGGGTGTTCTCAATTTTCCCCCATGTTTTTATTCGCGCCAACAGTGTATCAACGACTAAAAGTGCCTGGGCCCTTTTCAGGATCGTATCCAGGAAAGGCGCATACGAACTGGCATACATTATTTATTGTAAATGGAAATGGAAAAGTATTTACGTGTTATTCGTCAACACTGCGAATTTTTCAATGCCACACCAACTTTGCACTAACACACGTACAAAAATCCTGTAAGGTAAATGTCCCTATTGCCGACCATGC